CATTAATTTAACCTCGCATCTAGCAACCTGTGTGATGTCAACTTCTCTATCACAATTAACAGTTTTATTTTTGATGGCATGCTGACAGCTCCTAAAAGCTAATGGAAAGTCATTTATGTCTAATTTAAAGTCTGAATATTTGAGTGTTAAAGATCCCTGATAATCCTTCATATTTGGAAGGGGAAATGTAGTAAGAAAACAGCTTTGCTATATGTCGTGGTTTAACCCCAGCTAGTAACTGAGCCCCACACAGCTGCTCACTCACTCACCACGTGTTAGAACGGGGCAGAGAATTGAAAGGAAAAAGTGAGAAAACTTGTGGGTTGAGATAAAGCCAGTTTAATAGGTAAAGCAAAATCTGCACGCACAAGCAAAGCGAAACGAGGAATTCATATCCTGCCTCCCAAGGGCAGGCAGGCGTTCAGCCATCTCCAAGAAAGCCGGAGGACTTGGGAAGACAAACACCATTATTCTGAACGTCCTCCTCTCCTTTCTTCTTCCCCGAGCTTTACACGCTGAGCACGATGTCATACAGTACGGAATAGCCCTTTGGTTAGTTGGGGTCAGCTGTCCCAGCCGTGTCCCCTCCCAACTCCTTGTGCTCCCCCAGCCTCCTCGCTGGTGGTGTGGGGCCAGGAGCAGAAAAGCCTTGACGCTGCATAAGCATTGCTCAGCAGTTACAGAAATACTCCTGAATTATCAACCCTGTTTTCAGCACAAATCCCAAACACAGCTCCATAACAGCTACTGTGAAGAGAATTAATTTTATCCCAGCCCAAACCACTACACTACATCAAAATAACTTCTCAATCTGATATGAAATTCAGGTCTAAAGTTTGATAATATTAGCATACGATGCAAAAAATATGTTTCCACCATGTAGATGGTAAAAACTGAGAATAGGGGATAAAGGAACTTTATATGTGTCTTCAAACATTTCCAAAGACAAGGAACTGAATCAATAAATGAGCTCTCTGAGCAAGACAATTTGCTACATTGTATTTGGAATTGATTGAAAATTTCACATGAATCATTTCTTAACTGAAAAAAAAAGATTTTATTCTAAATCAATATTTTCCATATGAAGATACTGACTACAGCATATTCTGTGTTAGGGCAAGCCTAACAAACATTGTGTTTGGGTTTGTCAAGCTGTAGCATTTCATTTCAAGTTGAACTAACAGAAACTTTGATCTGGCTCAGCCTTGGTGTTGCTTCCCTTGAGCTGCACGGAGGAGCTTCGCTCTACGTAACGCACAGTGGGTGATCTTCACTACTGATTCTTCCCCTCACGTTAACTATGACAGCTCAAGGGGATGCTGGCTTTTATAATTTGTACATTTTTTATTTCATTAAAATATTTTTGTTGGTTTCTACATTTAGTTAATACTGTTTCATGGAAAGAAGAATCTTGATATTTCAAATGTTGATGCTAAGGCAGATGAAAAGAAAGCAATCAAACTTTCCTATAAAAGGAAATTCCATTTGCACTTCTATGTGTGCTCTCTCCAATTAATCTGATTCTGTTGTTATGTATATGGTTTTCTTTTTTTGTATTACTTTCTAGGCTACAGAAGATGAACCATCTTATTCAACTTTTACCATTGCTCTTGGCTTCCACATTTGCTGACAAAGAAAGTCAGAAAACAGACCACAACTCTTCTTCAAACAATGCCAGTCATAAACGACTGAAGAGAGACTGGATATGGAACCAAATGCATATCAAAGAAGAGATTGATACACCGTTACCACACCATGTTGGCAAGGTCAGTAGCAGTCTGTTAGCAATGAATAATTAGAAATGTGGACAGCAAATGAGTATCTTGAAAAATATTATTTGTTTGCAGTCTAGGCAGGCTAGAACAGAAAAAAAGGAAATAGAAATCAGACTTAACACCAAAAAACTAATGTGTTACAATCTAAAGAATGTGGACACAGTGTAAATCAAGAAAAATGTCAAAGGGGTTCTAATTCTTTTGAACAAAACAGATAAATTTCAGAGAATGGCAAATATGGAGCATCTGCTGTGCAGGAACAATTGCATTGCATGCAGGTACGCACTAGGAAGGAAGTGTGGTGGCTGATGTATGTCAATATTTTTCTGGCAGCTCAAGATTCTTTCAAAAACTGAGGAGATCAGCTAATAAAAACATATGCCCTAAAAATGATGCAGTTTACATCTCTCAGCTGGGCTACAAAAGTGCTATGCTTATGGATACTGTCATACAATCAAAAAATTTGTTTCAGAAAATGAAAGAAAATTATTTTTAAAAATAATAGCAAGCACTGACCTGCTCACAAACTCATTTTCTTCAGGACAGTGCTCATAAAATTCTATGATTAACTGCGTTTCACTCAGACAGAACTTCCCAATCTAGTCCTTCAAATTGAACTACTTTGACACTTTTCAGATAAATGCAGCTGTACGCTCTCCTCCCGTGCACAGTACTCAGCATCTGTCAAGTCTGTCTCCGCAAAGTGAAACGGACCTTTCTGGATCAGTGCTGCGCGAGAGAAAAGGGTGCTCTCAGCTAGCACAGGGTATCTCTGTTTCATTTCAGATCATTTCAGTAGCAGATTGAGGAGAATACTTCTGTTCCTGGAGCTGTCCTAAATAAGAGTAATTCACTTTGTACTGTGCTCCGTGGTCTTTCAACAGTGGAATGCTTCTGATTACTTTTGCAAGGGCTGTGTTCAACACATTGTATTTGCAGGACTGAACACTTGATAAACCCTTTAAAAAAGGCTACAGCAGCAGCCTGGCAGAACTGAGTGACAGCTGCAGGAATATGCTGATACATTTTGATTTTATCTTTCGTGACCTTGGATGCTTTCCTTTGTATGCTCATCCTCAGTTTTAGAAAAGGCAATCTTGGAAGTCTGTACCTTTTACACTGAATAAGTAAACAAGAATTGAGAAAGAAGGCACAGACTACACTGTCTTTGAGACAAGGATGAGGCTGTTTCTCGCTTCACATCTCCAGAGTTGTAAAATGTTTTTCAGCAGCCAGAAATACGATTAAGTATGTGGAATGAAGGAAGAAAATTTTAATGACACATTTCAAAATAGAAAACAGAAATAAAAGACTGTTGAACAGTAAATGACAACTATAGGATAAATCAAGTCCTAAATACCAAACAGTTGCAATTTCTGATAACATCAGTAACAAAAGACTAGAAATTCTTGGTCAAACCCAGTAATTATTGATAAATAGCTCAATGAAATAAGAATGCAGATATAGCGCATCAAAAATTGCGTTTTCAACCTTCTATCAATGTCCTTAGATGTGTAAAGGTACAGAATTATCTGCAGATTAAATAATGTGCAAAACCATTTGGGATTTGATTCAATTACATTCTAAAACTGATTAATGTTCATTCCTTTCACCTCATCCCTTTTTCATTGCATAAAATCTTAAAATTTAAAATCTACGGACTGAAAATTTAATCCTACTGTCATAGCGTGAGCCTAAAGACTGACTATAAAAAAACTGCATGTGACTAAACACAAGAAAGCTGTCAGCTATGGCAGAAATTCTGCTAAGTGCTAAGGAGTAGAGACTAATGCTGAACAATGTCAGTAGCTGTGAATATTTGATTCTGTAATTCTGTGAAATCTAAGCAAAATCTCTGCTAAGTTCAGAAGGTTACTTGCAAACAAGAGTAGCTCAGACTGAACCCAGTGGCGCATGTTATTTCAGACATAATGAGGTTAATGATTTATATGTGTTAACTGCATGAACAATTTATATCTTTAGGAAATACGAGACAGGATCTAAAGAAAACCCAAAACAAAACAAAAAAAAAACCCTCCAAGTTTCTTAATGTATAAGCAAGGAATTTTCAGTCGACGCAATTTTCATGTTGTAACCCTGCACAGTTGTAACCGCTGTAGTGGTGTTTGCTCAGTAATACACCAGCTGATATCAAAAGTCTTGATAGCTATTCTTGTTTTAAATTGATTCTGGGGAAGTCTTGATTGTGTGTATCTTCTGGCAGAAAACGTGTTGCATGCAGATACCGAAGTCCACTCTTATCTATTTGAATTATACTTTCCTTCCAGATCACATCAAGTGTAAGGAACAGCAACGCTAAGTATATCATTGAAGGTGAATATGCCAACACCATTTTTAAAGTGGAAGAAACCAGTGGTGATGTCTATGCATTTGAAAGGTTAGACAGAGAAAAGAAAGCCGAGTATGAGCTGACAGCTCTCATTATTGACAGAAGAAACAACCAGTCACTGGAACCCCCGTCTAAATTCATTATCAAGGTTTACGACGTTAATGACAATGTCCCTGTGTTTGTGCAAAAAGTATTCAATGGATCTGTCCCAGAAATGTCACCAGTAGGTACGTTCTTCCATCACTCATTTCCTTTCATGTCTCTGGTTAAAAAGCAGAATTTATATTAAATATGTCATCTGAAAATTCTTTTCTAGGAACGTCGGTCACCAAAGTGACAGCTGTAGATGCTGATGACCCAACTGTTACAGGCCATGCCACAGTTACCTACCAAGTCATTGAAGGACAGGAATACTTCACAGTTGATGACTCTGGTAGGTCTGATATGCAAATGTTCTTATCTTACACTTGGAAGAAAAAGTAGTTTTAAGCCTTTTTCATTCTGGACACGGGAGATAATAATTCAAAAATGTAATTTTAACCATACTTTAGGAAGATCTTTCATTTACACTTGCACAATGCCACTGTCTGTATCTGGAAATAAACTAATAAAGCTGAGATACCAGCTGCTGTGAACTAAACTGGAAGATAAAAGGTCATTTTTTTTCCCAGTGATGAAGAGACTGACTAGGAGCTAATATAACTTTAGCATAGATACCATTCCTTTGACCAAACAGGATAAGGGAATACATAAATTCAGAAGCAGTATTCAGTAATCAATGTCAACCCTCTGCTTTCCTAAACTTTCTTGTTTAAATTTCACCCAGTTTTAAAAATAATGTCAGTATCTCTTGTAACCATACTAGTCTCCTAGAGAAAAAACTCAGATAAAGACAAACTCACTCTCTCTCAGACAAACTCTCTAGACGCTGTAATGACCAAGCTTAGATGTCATTAGACTGCTCTAATCAGCAAAGATCAGTTTAAAAGAATGTGTTGTACAAAAACTCCCAAATGTTGCATCATGTAGAAAGACTTCTAGCATTTTTAGCCTTAGAAAAATACTCCTGTAAAAATGCTACTTAAAGCTGAATCAATGTGTGCCACAAGACAAAAATTTGCTGTCAAAAATGAAGAGATGTTGGACATCCTGCAAAATCTAATCATATTCAATGTGCTTTTTCCAAAGGTGTAATTTCTACAACAAGGGCTGATTTAGACAGAGAGACTCGATCAACATACGAAATTATTGTTAAAGCAAAAGATGCTCCAGGATCTTCTGGGGATTCAAGCACAGCTACAGTCATTATCACTTTAACTGACATCAACGACAATTTCCCAGTATTCAAACACTGTAAGTATAATGCAAGCACTGTATCATTTAGAAACCAAGGGCTCACATAACTATACCAAATTTATGTCAGAGTGCATCACAATTTAGCTTTTCTTAAAAGTGGAGAAAAGAATCTTACATATTCGGAACGTCTTCTGTATTTCAGCCGTAGCTACACTTTCTGGGTGATGCACACCTAGAAGAGAAAACAAAAAATAGTATTAATTTCACCACTGTGTGCAAGATTTTGACAATTTTGAGAATCATACTTTCACAAAAAATACATCAAAGTGCTGTCTGTAGAGATATATAATGCTGAATTCTCAATGAAATATTTTTCTATACACCTATAAACTAAGAGCAATTTTTTACCAAGTTCTAACTTCCGTGTAAATGCTCTTTATATTTTTTCTGTTGTGTTTCTTTTTGAACAGCATCATTTCACTTTAAAGTTCCTGAAAACATTTCAGTTGGAGGAGAAGTTGGCAGAGTCAAAGTAGAAGATATTGATGAACCACAACACAGAAACACAAGATACAGTTTTGTGAGAGGAAATTACAGGGACACCTTTGAAATTGTAGCAAATCCATTCACAAATGAAGGAATCATTAGGCCAAAGAAGGTAACATTTCCCAGTAACAAAGATGACTACTTTGTGTTTCCATGTGTAACGAGAATGTTTGATTCAGATTGAGACTAGCTGCAGGAAAGAATGAGAAAGTGTGGAAGTCAGCGTGAAAGGCATCCAGCCTGAAAACCTCGCTCTGTGAGCTCGGTAAGAAGAGCTGGTCGTTTGCTGCACCATTTCAACTGGCAGTCCCAGGAAAACCTAGAATTACTGCAGAGTGCAACAGGGATTATGTCAGGTATTGACTGAGGTTATGCACTTCAGGCTCCTCTTAAGCGTCAGATACTTGGATGCTTCAAAGAGTCAGCAATTTTAAGAGTTGAACCAACCTGCCAAGGCAAAGCATCTTTCCCTTCTGCAGCCTTGGTGAAACCAAAGTAGAAGACATGAACAAGTCCACCCGAGCACTTTGAAAACCGCTCACACTTGTTCCAATCTGAGCCACAGCTCCCTTACTTTCCTCAGGGTGCTTTCGGTGTTGCTTTCATTGTGGTTTGCTCTTTGTTTTTTATTTCCCAGACCTACTTGATTTGTACCAAGGAACATTCCTGTGTTATGGAGAGCACTGCCAAGCCAAGAGTTCATTGATTTAATTGACTTACAGTATAATAAAACAGAAGGGAGCACTATAAATCACTTCTTGTAACCCTCAGACTGACAGGAAAGTGTTTTTCCCTTCCAGATGTCTCTCTGAAACTCTTAAGATTGAAATCCATTCAGAAGAGAAAAAATTAAGGAAAAAAGGTACAAAGTATTCCAAGACCAGCAATAAAGTCTTCAGCTGTGGCCACATTAGGTGCAAACAGCTTTCCTTCACCAAATGTAGCCCTTTCCTGGTCTTCGCAGGACCTGAGGAATGTGTTGCCTGCAGCTCCTGCCCAGAGGAGGAGCGCTAAGAGGCCCCACTTATACACACTCTGGGTGATTTGGAATCAGCTCATCTTTTAGCACACAGTGGGCAAAGTTTCCCCCACTCTTTCATAACATGCTTTTGGCCATGCACGTGTCATAATTTTAAACAGGCAGCCATGTGAGACAAAATTTCAACTGCTAGATAAGCACTACCACTTCCACTTGCAATGTCTACTCAAAGAAAAAAACAAGAATCACTACAACTATCTACGGTGTATTTCACAGCGCTTTTGTAGTCTCTGGCAATAGTGTAAAGGGATCCAAACTTTGAGCTACGTGATAGCTTGGGCATTTCTCACTGACTTAGCTCCTGGCCTTCCTTCCATTGTTTGATGCATTTTATGGTCTCAGTCAAGGGGAAAAACAAGGAAACGGATGTCGTTTATCACAAAACACCCCAGCTGTCAGTCAGTGCAGCTATGAAGACTTCCCTGAATGACTTCAAAACGGAAAGCCTAGCCAAGAAGAGAAGAATCTGGTCCCCAACCTTTGAGAAAAAGAAGTTTAAACAGGTTTGAAAGCTACAGAATTATAAAAAGAAAATTATTACAACCAAGAAATTCTAGCTGAACTTAGAATACTGGATGCATCTAAGATGTTATTTGGTAGTATTTCCAAACATGAATTTGAGCATAGAGCTTAAATTGCATAGATAGCTAATCCAAAGTTTACTGAGCCATCTGCAAAATAAGAATATCTGTGTTTGTCTTTTCTAGCCCCTGGACTTTGAAAAAGTAGCAGAATATCAGTTTGACATTGAAGCAACAGATCCCACAGTTGATCTTCGATATTTCAAATCTGGTGGCCCTAGGAGTATTTCAAGAGTCACCATCGAAGTCACTGATGTTGATGAGCCTCCTGTCTTCACAAAACTACCATATGAATTTAAAGTAAAGGAAAACGATCCAGAAATATTAACACTTGGTTCAGTTTGGGCACACGACCCTGATGCAGCTAAACGGAAAATCAGGTAACATGACACCAGCTTTAGTAATTCTATTTTAAAGTGGAGAATTTGTTATTGATTCAAGGATTGCACAAGGGGACTTTGTCCCCTATTTTTCAGAATGTGCATGCCAAAAACAACAAAAAAAATATCCAATTTGATTTTTCCAGTATTGCAGCCATGGATATATATATGGTAACCAACAAATATGAAACATAGATTACATTTATCCATGTAATTATCGTATAAACTTGCTGACATAACATCTGTACATTTACTGGAAAATGCATAATCTTAGATAACTTTGTAATTTTTTATAATTTACTGTTCTATGGGGTTTTTGCAATAACTATCTCAAGCATGTGCTCTGAAAAGAAAACAGATTTCTGAAACAGCAAAAGACAATAATCTGGAAACTTTCCTGATGAATATATTTTGCCTTCATAGATTGCATAATTTTAGGGAGATATTCTGAGACCACCTGGTCAAGGTATTAATGTAATTTGTCACACAAAAACTCTCTGATCTTTCACTATGAAGATCTGAAGTAAAACACAGCATTATCACCCCTGCATTGACATATCTCTTTTTAATCAAAAAACAGATTTATTCGACGAAGAGCTAGTCCTAATGGAGACTATATTAGGGTATCTGATACTGGAATTATTCAACTTCCCAAGCCCCTGGACAGAGAATTCAGTTCCTCATATAACATCACTGTAGCAGCTCAGGAAATCCTTGAAGATGGTAAGTGCTACCCACATCCTTATTTGAGACATACCCATGTACAACTTTACAGCAGGACTGGACCTTATCAGAAGGGAGAGCCGCAACCTGGCAGCCTGGTTCCACCGGGCTGCAGATGAAGGGGATGTTTGCAGGGTTTGCACAACAATCTTCTGAATCAAATGAGAACTTACAAATAGGCCAAACACAGTTTTAAGATTTGGCTCCTGGCTATTATAAAAATGCATTCGGTTTGTTACAAGGAATAAAAGGGGCATGAGGAGAGGAAGCGGCTTGGGAAACAGGGATAAGCCTGTGCCTAGAACAGAAACATCCCAGGCAGCTTCACCCACTTACAGTTACCGAATTCCCTGCCCGCACTGCCACCTGGGGAGCATCACTGCACAGGCGCCCCTGCATGGATTCGCTCAGGTTCAGGAAGCAGAGCAGGCCCAGGGCCAGTCCCAAGTCGGTTTGAGAGTTGCTGGCATTTTCTGGAGGGTGAAAGGTATTTAATAACATAGACATGGCCTGATCCGTGCCTGTGGCCTTAGTGCCAGAGAATGATGCTGGATCCCGTAGCCACACAGTGTAAAGAATCAGGAAGCCATAAGCAATTGCCATTTCCTTGATGACTTAGCCCAGTAGGAGAGTTTTTAGGAAAATATCTGTATCTGTCAAAGGAAAAGCTTAATTTAATGATGGGCCTAGGAACTCTCTGTATTTGTCAGGCAGGAGGCACAGAGGTGCACACAAACAGTAGAGAGGTGAGGCCAGACAGCGCTGAGATTCCAGACATCTGAGAGACCTGTACTGTTGTCATTTCAGGCCGTCTTTCTGACAGAGAATCACATGCCCAAGTTCATGTAATAGTTGATGACGAAAATGATAATGCTCCAGAACTTGTTTATCCCGAGGAACCTAGAGTATGTGAAAATGCTGCACCAGGAAAGGTGAGACAGGAGGTGGAATTTTTCCCCTCAACTTGAATTACCTCAGTTTTCATACCCAAGCATCTGATCATTTCACTGATTTCCAAAATGTCAGTGGTCAGAAATCTCTCTTCAGGACTTTACACTGTTGTGATACTGACTTTTATCTGCTTACGCACAAGGGCTGCACAGCTCCTCTCCCTCCAGGCGTTACCATATGTACGTGCACTAGCAATTGAACCGTGAAGTACAGTCAAGCCTTGCAGAGCAAAAATTAGCAATTCATTTTTCTCACACAAATGTTTATAAGTGATACTGAGAATGAAATAATTTCAAAATACTAAGAGAAACATTGCTGCATATTACATTGTCGTATCATTCATAAGAGACCAAGTACCTGCTTGCACAAATAGTGTTAGTGTTTTTGGGTTTAGACATTTGGCCTCAGACAAAGTACTTAGCCCATACATGCAAAGTTTGTTTGACTAAGAGACTTGGTCTGTATTGGGTTGGCCTGGCCAGATTTTG